AACCGAACCTTCAGCTGGTTTGCAAACCGGAAAGAAAGGACGAAACAGTTATAATTTTGTTTAACCAATAGGTCAGTTTTACAATGAATTTGTAGTAGAGAGGAGGTCGGAGAATCTCGTGTATTGGAAAATGAGGTCGATACTCGGATATTACAAAGTAGAGCGGAAATGAGTTAAGAATAAGTCGGACATGCCCAGACCTATTAGATCGTAGCGAGCAAACTAAAAAAAAAAAAGAGATTGGTGTTTCTAGATGTTTTCCGGCGACAGTGGTCGGTCGGAATTTTCCTCTGGCTGAGTTAGAAACTGAACTGAAGTTCTGGTCCCTTGTACTCCGATTCCAAAGGAGAAGTGATATCTTGTCATATCGCATAATCTCTCAATTTATAGTAAATGGGGGAAGGACAACTGTAGTTTAATCCTAACTAGAGTTGCCTAATCTGACCAAGGTTTAGTCAAACCCATGTTGACTTCAAGTTGGGTTTTGTTCAACATCTGGGACTTCCTTCTCAGTGGGCTGCGGACCCATGTACAACAAAAAAAATTCGATATACAGGGTGAGCGTTTAGATATTTCGATTTAAATAGTAATTCTATGTTTTAAAGAAAATTCCAACCTGGAACACAGTACACTCAAAATGTTCTCCCAGGTTTTCTTTCTCACTTACATCTTCTTCTCTTGTTTTCAAGCTTTGTCCCGTGCGATTATGACACACTTTGTAGCCTTGTAGGCCAGTCAAAACGATTTAATAAGAAAGCAAACGTGCCCACCAGTCAGAACACATTTTTGCGGTCAATATATAACCACATATAGACCAAAATACTTTTTTTTTTGTTTTTCTTTTGATGAAAACTAGACCAGAAAGTTTCCACATATAGACTCATTAAAATTTCATTCGTAACGTCACCTTGACTTTTAAGTCTGTTTATCTCACAAACTCACTTAAGACATGAGAAAGCAATGTCGTTGAGCTTAAGACATGATCGTCATTAAGCTTATTAATTCTTCTTTTCTATGATTTAAATTTAAATTGTTAAAGTTAATTTATCTTTTCTTGTTACTTTTTTATAATTTTTTGTACATGATTATTATCATGGGTGTGTATAGATATTTGATAATGTCTGCAAGCAATAGCTAACTTTGGAATAAGAGAGTTATAATATTAAAAACCAAAGCTTGAAATATAAGAAAGTTATAAAATCAGAAATATCTAAGTTTTAATCTAGAAACTTTCAAAAACATATTATTTTAAATTTGTGAAACTTTGAAAACTTCCAAATTAAGAAACTTTCAAAGAAATAACTTTCAAACTATATAACTATAAAAAAATATGTGGTCCAATCTCACATTAATTAGCAAACAATCTTTGATTGGTTATCCAATCTATAAAAAAACAATATTTACATAAGATATATTCGAAAGCTTAATTTATAAGG